TTATTAAAAGTCTTCCTCCAACTTACTAACTCACATCAAACCAATGGTAGTATTCCTGTGTATCAGAAGAACCCATGTTACTAGTAATTAATGCTTCCCCTGTATCTAGTTTAGTTAAAGCTGAATTTTGCTCCCACAACTGTTTTACCTTCTGTATCCCTGTCATTGGAAGAACCATTTTCTGGGATGCTTTTTGAACCGGCATTATGATCCTTGTTTTCAATTCCATAATTGTAAAATACTTTTGTAAACATTAAGCTCCTGGTTTTTTGTAGGTGTATCCACGTCAGTAACACCACAATTCACTTTCAGTTCTTCAGACTGGCTACCGAGAGGTCAGAAACATCTGGGCCTAAAACTGAGAAACTTTACTAGTAACATTTATAACAGTAGTTACAGGGCCATTTATTTCACTTCCAGTCTTTCCTTCAGTTACTTCAACCTTAATCTTAACTGTTTTATCTTCATCACTGTTTTCTAAAAGGTCTACAACATCTTCTGAACCACTAAGTGAAGATTTCTCAGTTTCTTCGGGTGTGATTTCTTTGTCCATGCTTGTAGAGTCTGTTAGGCTGGTACTGTTGTGTCTGGTATTACCTTCTTTTCCTGCTGCAGAAGGCTTTTTTCGAACTAAACCAAGAACATTAAGCATGTGCAGAGGTTGTTCACTGGAGGTATCTGTTGAAAAAACTCAGTATAAGTGCAAGTTGTTAAAATTAACAATTTAAGTCTTTAATCTTTTAATAAATTCTCTTTTATCAGAACTGCAAAAGTAACTTTCCAACATGGTAGAATCACTAGTTTGTAGATCTACTTAATACCACCAAATATAAAAGTCACTAACTTTGATAAATTGTCAACGTTGCAAACCGATAAGAGATCTTTTCACCTAATAAGATATGATGATCGACTTTAGGTAATAAAGATGTAACATCTATAGGATTAGTTAGGATCACTTGGCATTTTTAGCTTTTAAAGAAAATGGAAGTCCTGGGTCAATGATAGAAAATTAACTAATTCGAATGATAATACCTAATGGTTTTATATTTTATTCTACCCTCAGTTAGAGTTACTTCTCTTTTCAGTAAGTTGGGGCCACCGCTTTTAGAAGTAGGTAATATTTCTTCAGTAAACTAGTATTACAAGGTTGAGCTTAGTTTTTACTCTCTTCATTGTCCTGCCTTCTTTGTTTTTAAAAAATCAACTATAAAAACAATAATGATAAAATAAATTATTTAGGTTAGTTACAATAACAGTATAATCTGTCAAAAAAACTGATAGGCAACAAAATAAAGAACTTTAAAAATTCCCATTAACTATTGCTGGAACAGATTTTGCTAAGACTGTCAAGAACTGTCATTGATAAGATATATTACTTTTAACAATATTTAAACTCCCACCCCACCACCCTTTTTTTAATAAATGTTTATATAGCATAAGCTCCATACAAAGCTGTTTATTCAACTTTACTCTGAAGAAGAAATAAGGTGAAAAATTGGCATTTTACAACAATTAACATGCTAATCACTGACTAGTCCTACTATTAGATATTCAACATTAACTCTTTCACTGCTACATTTTGTACGCCTAAAAATAAAGACACGTTCTTTCACATTTCAACATTTAGATAAACTTAGAACTTGTAAATTTTGTTACGAGATTCCAAACTCAGACAGCAGCAAGCTAGACGAAGAAAATATTATTGTATATGTCCATGGTAGAGAAAGAATTAAATCTAGAATTTTTCTCTTCTATAACAAAACTGGATCTATTAAATCATGGAAATTTGATAATGCTTAAAAAAAACTTAATGTTTAGGAGTGTTAAAATTACAGGTATTATATTTCTATAGCTATGTACTTGAAATAAGTTTTGATTAGTTTACAGGAAAGAGTAGTGAACATACGTGTATCGGATATATGTCAGACTAACGAATTGAATACGTGTTTATATTGTACTCAGTTATGATTCTCCAACATGGTGGGCAAAACTTAAGTGTTGAATTCAAATCACCTCTTGATGGCAATTTTTAATCAGTTAACATATCTTTTTACACATTTCTAGGTTTTAGTAAAACAATTAATTTAAAAAAAAAGAACTTTAATTAGCAACACAAATTACCTTTTGTGTATCTCCCAACAAAAGTAAATTTCTTCACTCAACACAAAATACGATGTGCATTAAAGTTTGATATCAAACTTGTACGCAACACAAGGAAATCTGATGTCACAAATGTATTAGAATTTTTATTAAGTACAAACAATTTAAAATATAGCATATTTAAGTAATATAAGTTATACTGCTTCAAAAATAATTAACTAGTTTCTAGTACTACGACCCAGTTTCTTCTAAACTAAAGATCAGTTAAAAAACTATCGATAAATAAAAACTGGAACTAACCTGTTTTAGAAATGGGTATAATTTTCTTTGTTAGAGGTGCAGGATCTTTAAGTTCCTCAGAAACTTCAATTTCTGAGGGTGTACTTCTCAAAGTTTGAACTCTTGCAAAACTTTCATTAATCGATTCTTCTTCATCTGCATCTAGAACCACCAGGGGTGGGAAGAAAGCTGACTGCGGCTGAAGTCGAATAGTTTCTGGTTCCTGCTTAATGGTTGCCATAAAAGCTTTGGCTCGGCTAGGATAGCAGGAGCGTTTACCACAAACCACTAAATGCAGGACTAGAAACAGAATACCAAATATAAACCTACAGGATACCCATCATACAAAATTATCTGGTTATTAAAACTTGTAAATATAAATACTACTCTTTATGTTATACATAAGTACATACAACTATATATTTCACACTGTTTAGAAATACTCTGGTGAAATTTAAATTGACTAAACTTGCAAGGTACCTGTCATATAATACAACCCATCTTCATAGAAACCTGTTAATATTAACAATACTATTTTTTATCACAAATGAATATGTATACAAATATATTTCCTACCATTTAAGAATTTCCAAAACTTATTAAAACAGAAACTTACACTCAATAAGCAAGGACACTAATTCATCCCACACTTTCCATCTAGTCTCTAGAGCAAAATTATTTTATACAAAACCATGCTTTAAAATTAAAAAAGAACAATAAGTTCGAAACCCAAATAACCTAAAAAGCAATAGCATATAGATATTTTTCAAGATTCAGCTGTTTATAGTAATTCAAATATTCTAATAGTCCTGAACACTCTGGAAATATACTCGTACCATCAACTAGCCACAAACCATTTACTTACAAAATAAATATTCCAAAATTTGTCCTTATCTACTATGTTACATACCAAGGTCGTTCCCATTGATGGAGTTATACCCACAGATACAGAACATTGCCCTCTGACAGAAGATTGGCTTTAAATAATTTAATGAAGATTTCTTCTTGTTTGACACGGAGAGGTGAACGTTCATGTGTTCCACAAAAGCCTTACCACAATGAGTGCCATACCCACACTGGCTACAGCTCATAAATTTCCTATGGATAAAAAACGTTATTTACAAATACTTATAAAAGCCCAAAATAAATATTTACATTTTAGTTCGTCCTGCATACTATTGACGATTGATAAAAAGTTGATAACCACAAATTTAATGAACATCCTCCATAGTTCTGGTTCTCAGTAGAATGAAATTAGATGGTTGTACAATATTACTAAATACTTGATTGACAACTTCTTCAGCTTTGCAACATTTTATATCTACAAACATAAGAAGAAAACGATAGGAACAAAATATCAATCTATTTTCAATTTTTTTAATAACATAACAAAGCAAATTACTGCTTCATATCTATAAGTGTACATATATATAATAAAAGTTGTTTGACTTCCTGACCTTGTAATTAACATCATGATCTCATTTTAGCATCTCTCTTGATGAGCAGTGTCAACTCAAATATATCTCATAGTTGTGTCTGTGTGTCTGTGTATATATATATATATATATATACACACACACAGTGATAGGAAAGAGAAATGTTTGAAGCTGAATACTATATTTCTTGTTTTTCATGTGTATTCTTTATTTATTATTATAAAAGTAACTAAAATGGAAAAATTAGAAACTTATTACATTAGATTAGGTAAGATAATGAAAAATAATAATAATAATAAAAATTCTTCATGAGGTATACTCATGATTGGCTTGTGTGTTATGTAATTTGATGGTAACAAGAACTACACATTTGCCGAGTGAATTATGGCTTGTGTGGAGGGATTATTAGTTATACACTGTTCATAAGACAATAAAGCAATAAAATTAAGTATAAACAGATGTATACTGTTACAAATTTTAGTATGCAAACTCTAATGGTTAATTTGAGGTTATAAACTAGGTCACACTGACCAAACCAACAGCAAAAGGGTTTATCTACTCCATCAGTGTATTACTTTGCCTCATTCTTGCCTTACTCTTACAGGACATTTTAAGAAAGAAAAAATTTCTCTCCCCAGTCCTTTACCACCATAAATAATTGTTGCATCATCTATTGAACCTTTCCGTTCTGAGAAGCTCACAGCCCACTAAAAAGTATAGGGACGATTTTGGGTCCTCTCAAAAGAAGTATGATGACATCTCACCCCACTTCAAGCACTGTATGTTTTTGATATACATCTATATATATAATTAAACTTGATTATTTTGGTATTATAAGTTACTTAATATAATTTTCAAAAACATAAAATACTTATTATAATATGGCCTATTTGATTCTTTCTATCAATTTTCTAGAGATTAAGAAAATCTTGAAAATGTTACCTCTAATATCGATTGAGTGACTACTCACAACTTAACTCACTAAGTTACACTTCAGTTGCTTGTAACACCTGCATCTTCCAGCCCTCAATTATTACTTGATTATGTTTAGTTTAACTTATATCCAGAAACAAGTTTTAACTGACCAAAAAATACAAAACACAAGTATATGGCTATTATCAAAGACGTCAGTTTGTTTGGTTTTCGACATGGATAAGTTTCCCTGTTATACTTCTTACACAACCATCAATACAAGAACTGCCTTTAAAGAAAATTTATTAAAATAAAATATGTAAAAAAAACGAAAAACGAATTCTGTTTTTAGTTTATAAAACTGTGAAGTAAAAATCCTGAATGCTTAACGTTTTTCAACACACAAATATATTTGTGATTTTTATACAGGAAAAATTTCCATAAAAATAAGATACTTTCTAGTTACATTGTAACACCCATGTATTTTGGCATTAACAGTTGTTTTTAATGTATAAAACTTTGATATGTTGAGGATTTCAAATTCAATGTGGCTTAACAACTGCATGTTTATTAGTTATTTATTTGGGGTAGTTTAAGTTATCCATTTGTCTTCTTGTCGTTACTGTGCATGAACACTTTCATCACTAAAACTCTGATTTTGTAATTCACAGTAAAAATAATGTTTGCTAAAAGGCTCAAAAATTTCACTTCCAACAACCATTCTAAGAGCTGGTGCTAACTCAAATTATTATTTTTTACTAAGAAGTAAGAAACTATTGGAAAAAAATCCAGAAAATACTATTGATCAAGTTGATAAATTAAAATACTTTAGTAAACACGACAAAACAAAAGCAACAATTCATACCTAAAATGTTCATAATCAATATTATTCTTGCACTCTATACAACGCAGGTGTGACGTGTCAGCAGTGATATTAAGGTCAAGACGCTTTTCTTCTGAGGCTTTGAAGATGACAGGAGGTTGAGAAATACTACCCAGTTCTTTCCTTACAGGCGATATTCTACCTTTAGCCATCTTAACGGGTTTTATATGTGGATCTCGTATCACTACATCTTTTTCATTTCTCTGTGCTTTCATTCGGATCACACCTACACCATATCGAATCATTAACTCATCACAAAAGAAATGTATTATTGCAGCAAAAATTTAAGTCGACCAACCTACACAAATCTGAAATTTTTTATAAAAACATTTAATTAAATTATTACGAAGCTGGTAGACATTAATTTCAAATAAATATCCATAAATTGTTTTGTCATCAATAACGCTGGCATATCCACATTATAAAATGATTTGGAAATGTTTTATTTTGATGAAATATTTTGTTGTATATTACCAAAGCTAATTACTGAGTATGGTTTGATCTTAAAAACGTGACTTCTAAATTACTCGTGGTTAACAAGAGGTTTATGTCAAGTTTAGCTCTATTTTTATTTTTTTTATCCTATTGATAAAAAACACACATTTATCTATTTTGACTTTATAAAAAAAAACATGTTTATGAGGAATAACTTTCATGTTCTTTGTTAGGAAATGTTATCATGCTCATAAGCTTCTTACAACTTTAACATGTTACATATAAAAACGTGGCTTTTTCTGTGCTCACATCAGATCACAATCAAACATGCCTGCATCTCTGATAGAAGGCTGTCAAAAATAGGGTAAGTAACAACTTATTGTCACTTTTTTTTAAAGTAAATCACGTGTTGTGTTCATCCATACATTAATCTCAACATGCAAACTTGCTCCATAAATTCAATAGTTTGCACAGCTGACATTAAAACCATATATGTCCATAAATCAGTGCTGTACTCATATTTTCTGATAGTATTTTTACAGCTACATCAAGTACAGTATTATGTGGATGGTATTCAAGAAATAAATATTTGATACAAACAAACATCTTGTCCAACAAGAATCACCTACAAAATTGTCAAGTAATATATAATTTTTGTCTCAAAACATATTAACAATAATGTAGAGACATGTTACAAAGCATCAAAGCTTCTTTCAGAATGTTTGTTTCGAATTTCGCACAAAGCTTCACGAGGGCTATCTGCACTAGCCATTCCTAATTTGGCACTGTAAGACTAGAGTGAAGGCAGCTAGTCATCACCACCCACCGCCAACTGTTGGTCTACTCTTTTACCAACAAATATTGGGATTGACTGTTACATCATAATGCCCCCATGGCTGAAAGGGCGAGCATGTTTGGTGGGATGGGGATTCGAACCCACGACCCTCAGATTGCAAGTCAAGCACCCTAACCACCTGGCCATACTCTTTAAGAATGACAAGACCCCCACTGTATGACAGAGTAATCTGTATTCCCTATTTGTGTCTTTATTTAAATACCATTAGTTTCCTGAGCCATTAGGTGAATAAGGCAGAGATCAGACATCAAAACTTTGTCATAACTTCAGCTACTTATTGCAGTGCTACAGCATCAGATGTTACAGTACATACAATTTTTTTTTAGGATGTCCTCTCGTGCGATTTCTGTGGTACTTCAGTTATTGTAAAAACTGAATGGAAAAGGTACCACTAAAAATCCTAACCACATCAAGGTAACTATCCAGAATTCTAAGTATCTTGGGTATCCTTTTCAATCAGAATTTGTCCAAGGTAACCACTCTGCCAACACTAGTTTAAACCAACCTTCTGCTTCCGCCATGCTAATGTGATCTGTAGTTCGATGTGTCTTAACACTATTAGAATTGGTGAAAACTAAGCAGCATGCTGGACATTTGCGAGACTGAGACTTCAGTTGGTGTTTCTGAAGATGTAGGAAAAAATTCTGGGTCATCCCAATCTTCTGGACAGGAGATATACGAGCAGTGAACACTTCCAAGCAGTAATGACACTGGAACTTGTCAGAACCATTATGAACCTGGCAAACAACAAACAAAGAAAAACAAAAAAATGAGATCTTAAGTGCACTACAACTGTTTTTTTTTTACTAAATAAAATAACAGCAAATAAAAGCAATATATTTATTAAATAATACTAGGATTTCAAACATTTGTAATTGTTTTCTAAAGCTAGCTAGCAAAACTTACTAATTGTAGTGTTCATTGACTGGATTATTACTTGAATAATTCTCTTCATATCTTATAGTAAATAAAGAGTTATTTCACTCTTTTTTTTTTGTTAACAGTAATAGGAGTAAACTCACGAGTTAATGCCATTTATTGATTAACACATTAACTGCTGCAATTCTAGACATTATCTATGGCAGGTGCTGATAAAAGTTTTAATGCATTATCATTGTGTTTTCACTTTAAAAAACAGTAATAATAGAAATTAGAAACATGTACATCTAGAAATTTATTTAGATGCTATTTGTAGAAAATCACTTTATTCATATAAAATCCAAAAAGCCAATTCAAATACATACTTATCATGATATACATGTCATATGATGAATACATCAACATTTTTTGTGGTACAAATTGAAGGATGGGTCCAAACAAATACCAGGGGATTCTGGACACGTATTATAGTTGACAGGCCCAAACAAATACCAGGGGATTCTGGACA